TCTTATATTTAAATTTATGTTAAACATTGTGGCTGAAGAAATTTTTGCCAACAGGTGAATAACAATTAGATAATTTCCAACAGTCTAAGCTTCATACACTTAGATCTGTAATTTGTAAAGGATTCTATGAATCAATTACAATGTTAATATTATTACTATACTATTAAATAGTGACTGGTTCACACTCATATGGACAAATTATAGTGTAGAGGTAACCTTGTAATGAAAGTTGCCTATACCTAAGTAATTGCTATAAAGAATTGAGTGTTATAGTTTATTTTCTATTAGTTATATATTTACTATGTTATATTATTCATTAAAAAATTTGTGTTCAAATATGTATATTACATGATAATTATATTGAAACTGAAAGTAAAGCCTAGTTCTGCAATATTAGAGCATGATAAATTTGGCTCAAGTTACTTATGTCAGTTCTCTTATTTAGAGAATTAGGATGTTTAAGAATTGAACACATTTCTAAAAACTGTCTTTTAAATAGATTACGTTCAGTGCCAAGAATCTTAACTTCATTAAAATCCACTTTATGTTTGGTGCTAATACATACGTATTTTTTGATAAATTAATATCACTACGATGGGACGTAAGACGACCTTTTAAAGATCTACCCGTTTGGCCAATGTAGCACAATTCACAGTCAGAGCATGGAAGGTGGTAAATTGTATTGACTTGTTCTAAAGTAGACAATGGTGTTTTAGTTTTTGAAAAAACTGTTAGACTGTTAGAAATCTTTTTTCAAAAACTAAAACACCATTGTCTACTTTAGAACAAGTCAATACAATTTACCACCTTCCATGCTCTGACTGTGAATTGTGCTACATTGGCCAAACGGGTAGATCTTTAAAAGGTCGTCTTACGTCCCATCGTAGTGATATTAATTTATCAAAAAATACGTGTGCTCTCGCACATCATGCTATTAGCACCAAACATAAAGTGGATTTTAATGAAGTTAAGATTCTTGGCACTGAACGTAATCTATTTAAAAGACAGTTTTTAGAAATGTGTTCAATTCTTAAACATCCTAATTCTCTAAATAAGAGAACTGACATAAGTAACTTGAGCCAAATTTATCATGCTCTAATATTGCAGAACTAGGCTTTACTTTCAGTTTCAATATAATTATCATGTAATATACATATTTGAACACAAATTTTTTAATGAATAATATAACATAGTAAATATATAACTAATAGAAAATAAACTATAACACTCAATTCTTTATAGCAATTACTTAGTATAGGCAACTTTCATTACAAGGTTACCTCTACACTATAATTTGTCCATATGAGTGTGAACCAGTCACTATTTAATAGTATAGTAATAATATTAACATTGTAATTGATTCATAGAATCCTTTACAAATTACAGATCTAAGTGTATGAAGCTTAGACTGTTGGAAATTATCTAATTGTTATTCACCTGTTGGCCAAAATTTCTTCAGCCACAATGTTTAACATAAATTTAAATATAAGAGTTTGAATGAAATTCTCCTGTTTGTTTGTTTTTAGACGGGCTAATGCGAGTGATTGTTATTACTATATCAGTCTCTTTCATTGGATTGTCTCTTACAAGCGGGCTGTCATCCAAAGCTCATTAACTTTTAAATAAACCGCTCAATTATTTGAGGTGGTACCTCTGACCTTGCTGTTCTGTTGAAATAATTTCAACCTCAAGGTTGGCTGTCTTTTCGTAGATCTGTGTCAGTCTGTTCAATCTAACGCCATTTTCCTGGTAGCAGGTGTAAGGCTTAGACCGGTAACTTCATTCTTTTACACTTATTTTATTTTTAAATTATATTAACATCTTTTAATAATGCTACCAAAAGTTAAAATTAAAGTTTAATAATTATCTATTGTTGGAAGTTAATCGTTGATTTTCTTAGTTCTTTGCATCAACTACGTTATAATTTAATATATATTTTTTATACTTCTGACCACATGGTCACTCACTGTGCTAATTTTTTAATAAGTCACTAAATGTTGTTAGTAAATTAAATGTTTATACATTTCTACTTTATATTGTCCATTTATTCAAGTTTAATTCATAAGCTTGTTAACATCTTTGACTGCTACATGTCTTTTTAAGGTAACACCTGTAACATCTTTTCCATGATTGTGTGGTTCTTATATTATACTTTTTAGAATGAACTGATGATGCTTTCAGAATACGAAAGCGAAACGTTTTCAAAATAGATAGAGTGGCACATCAACTTTGTCTTTCATTTCTCCACCTACAAATTGACCGATATAAGAGCCCACCACTCTGTTGAGTGATCCTTTTATATATATATATATATATATATATATATATATATATATATATATATATATATATATATATTATATATATATATATATATACTCCGAGACCCCTTCAAATATTTGTGATTCTGTCATCAGATCTTGTGATGCCGCTATTTGTGTGCTGTTCGTGAACTTCATGGATTTTGTTTTGGATACGTTAACCTGCCGTCCCATTGTCTTTGCGGCTTTTTCTAATATTTCAAAAGCCTGTATCAGGTCTCGTTTTGTCCGTGTTACTATGACAATGTCATCTGCGTAGGCCAATATCTGTACACTTCTATTGATGATCGTACCTCGTGTTGTTATGCCCGATTTCTCTATGGCTCTTCCTAGCGCGATGTTAAATAATAGACACGATAGACTGTCTCCTTGGCGTAATCCCGTATGTGTTTGAAAAGACCTTAACACTCTGTTTTGTACCTTGACTTTGCACTCAACTTTTGATAGAGTTGCCTTTACCAACGTTATTAGATGCAACGGAATCATGGCTGTTATATAATCAATTTTATTTCTTACAATACTGTCTTCTCGATCACTTGGAGACTTTTAAGTATATAGTCTACGTTTTGGTAGACAAAACCATGTAATCGCAATTACAAATTTTTCCTCTTGGCAGAACTGCACCAATTGTTCTACTTAGTAACATTAAGAATACTTTCCAACCCCACTTTTGCATTAAAGTCTGTCGTGATAAGAGTGTGTTTGCTTTTTGTCATCGCTAATTCTTCTGATGTAATTGGTAGAATGTTTTAATTACGGTATTTTCTTTGCCTGCAGTTGGTGGGTAGATTTGTATTACATTTATATCCACTAGGAATGTAGCTAATCTAATTAGCATTACACGATCTGATAACGGAACAAATTTTCTTACAGACTTTGCAAACTATTTTTTTAGTATGACTGCTACACCGTTTTGATGTGATTTATAGTTTGTCTCAGAGTAATATATCTGTTAGTCTTGAGAATTGCACTGTCCGTTGTTTGGTCACATTGTTTCGCACACTCCTAATACAAAGATATCGAGTGTGACCATTTTAAGTAAGAGGTTTCTAAGCTTTCCTGCTTCCTATAATGTTTTAATATTTCAGGTGCATATTTTAATTCTTTTTCCAGGTGACCTGGACAGCCCTATGATCTTTTTCTGTTGGAACTTGGAATCCGAATCATGATCAGTAACTGCTATTTCGTCGCTATTGCTTGACATGATGATTATTTTTACAATATCCTTAGGGATCTTTAATACAATGGTTTTCCGTTGCCTTCCATATCTCCATGCCGTTGATCATTTATCGGCTCATTCGCCTTTTGGAACTATTTGTTATTACAGTGACAAGGGGGTGCCCTTATTCTCACATCAGTTTGTTGACTTGAAGCTGTTGACTAATAAGAGAGGGACTGCGTATCCCGGAAGTCAGTCGTTAATGCAAGAGGGAGTTACCACTCGCTAAAGAGACCTAATATAGATAGAAATTGGTGGCATTCGCTTCTGCTGCATAATACGCAGCCCTCTACATAAAACAAAACAGAAGATATTTGAGAAGATAAGGGTATTTTCAAATATCTAATAAACGTTAGTATTTCTAGAATCTAAAATATTTAACGAGAAATATAAATATGTAAGCGCAAATGAAAATTACCCACCCAGATAAACCCTATTAGCGGTACCAGTAGGAAATAGGACTAGAGGTATACCAAGACTAAGATGGAGGGACAGTGTGGACAAAGTCGTAAAGAACATCGGAACAGCAAACTGGCAATGGTTGGCCATTTACAAAAACGTCTGGCGAAATAAATGGGAAAGTCCAGGCTCAACTAGGAGCATCATTAACATCACTAATGAAGTAAGTACTAAAGAGTAGGTGAAAGGGAAATTGAAAGAAAAACAAGCAAATAAAGCAAGTGGCAACAAATTACCTATAAATGGTAGTATATTGAAGAACAACTGATATTCTAAAAGTTTTTACAAAAGACAATATTTATATATTTAATTTTCCGTAGATGACAGAAGTATTCAAATAATACTGTGTAATAGATTTATAATAAAAAAAGCATAAGGGAGGAATAAACAAGGAACTACCACAATTTATGTATCTAAAAAAGAATAATTGCCTAGCAAAAAGTAAAGATTCCATACAAAATTCCTAATCCAGAAATTTTTTTTAAGAAAAGTTCACATGAGGCAGACTTAATTAATTTGTTTAACTACAAGTCGAGATATTTAAAGGCCTTCCAACTCTTGAACATTTATGTGTGTTTATTTGTAAATTTGAACTTGGTTGTGATTTATTTGTTTATTAATTGATGTTTAATACAAAATATTTTAAAATCATTAACTCCGTTTATTTAGTTATTAACTATCAAGAGCACGCAGTTTATATATAGTTACATAGTTTATTCAAACGATATTTGAAAAGCAATAAGTGGCATACTTTAAGGCTCCTTCCACATTTATACAAAAATTGTTAAAATAAAAGTATTAGGAAACATGAATGTTATGAAATGAAAGAGGGACAACACAAAGGCACTATTTGTCTGCAATCTAATGCAATCAAGCCACATCTTAGAATACCACTGTACCTTCCTGTTGATTTTTTATAAACAAGACAAAACAGACCAGTCAGTTCAGTCGTTTAGTTGATAAGAGAAAACACAAAAACAATACCAACTGTAATAAATAAACTATATGGCACCAACCTTACAATTGCAAGTAGTGCAACTGTCTTTGGGGTCTGAAAACTGCGACCCCGACTGGTAGATGCGACCTCTATAGGAGCATGATTGGCCCGAGGCCGAGGAGTTCCCTGTAGGCAGGGAGCAAGGGTTATCTTCACAATGGCCGCAGCAATCTTCTGGATTCTTCACTGGGTTGTCACAAAACGTCGGTGGACACCTTGGACAGAACAAAAAAACTTAAGAACGTATAGTCATACATATTAATACATAATATTCGTAACACCTTTACTAACTAAACGGTTGTTTTAAAATATTTTAAATATTGACCTACATGTCTACTAAATATATTTCTTAATGAAATAGATTATTTATTTCGTTTAAGTAAACATATAAATTAAGATTTTTTTTAAATCTTACCAGAATATTATATTATGAAGATTTTAGACATTTCGAAAAATATCTTTGGTACCTAATATTATCTTTTAGCCTAAAGTGATTTTAATGCCTTAGGGCTATGAGGCACATTATTTACTCTAATTAAATAACCAGTATTAATAGTTATGTACTAATCTATATCTTTATTTAATCCTTAACGTTTGCAGGAACCCTAAAGGATAATCAGCTGCAATTTTTCAGTGCTGATCCGTTGCAATTAATGGCCACAGGGTCATAGATAATTATTGAGGTGAGCTTTAAGTAGTCTAATGTTTTATGTAGTAATTGATGTTAACTACAGTAGAACCTCATTAAGTTAAAGTCTAAGTGAAACACAAAATATTTTGGATTATATAGTTTTTCTATTTACCAAGGATTTATATAAGATGGAGGATAAATATATAAATATATATATATATATAATATATATATCTATATATATATATATATATATATATATATATATATATGCAAGATTACGGGTTTAGGGTAAGATCTGGTATATAGATAGATCCAAAACTACAGAGGATGTGGGCTCAGAAATATACTCCAATAATCCAAGAATTAGCAAAACCTTTGCCTTGAGGAGGAACTGCACCGTTTATCAAGCGAATATTTATGCGATAATACGATGTACAAAAGCAAATAATAAAAAATCTCTTGAAAAAGAGCAAATTAAAATGTCAAGAGGCACTGGCGTGTCAGGAAGTGACGTCTGGGCTGGTGTGGGATTTCATCAAAGAACTGAATGAACTAGGAGACCGGAATAAGGTTGAGCTTGCCTGGATATCAGGACATCAGTACACCGACGGCAAGCAGATCAACTAACAAAAAGAGGATTGAACGAATCAAATTAACCGGCTGTATCTCTGGGAGTACCAAAGGCTGCAGTTTGTAGGGCTGTAAAGGACTGGATCAGAAAGAGTCATGAGCAGTATTGGGATATTTTTTAAGACAAACAAATAAAAAAAATCGTCATTGGTGGACCATATAAAAAAAAAATAGAGGAACTGCTTCTTATAGGCAGCAACAAATTGAAAACAGTAACAGAAATATTAACCAGTAAAAGAATTTCTAAATAAAAGAGGCATTTACAATGAAGACCTTAACTGCAGACTCTGCGACAAGAAACTAAAAACTGTAAAATTTGTATTATGCGACTGCGAGGCTCTGGACCGTAAAATACAAAAACTGTTAGTAGAGCTGGTATATTTAGGAAGTATCAAGACAAAGACATGTCCCAACTTCTACACGGTATCAAAATTCTAGACGGATGTAGAAATCAACAATAATTGGCAGCAAACACAATAAGCTTTAGATTTATTGTTAACGGAGATCTTTTGGATCAGAGAGGTCTATAAAAAAAAGGTTTAACAAAATTAAAAAACTGATCGTACAGTCATTAAGAACTTTTTAGTTCATTGATCGATGTGCTTGTATATAGAGTTTTTAGCTGAAACAAAAATATTTTCTTTATCACCACTAATATCGTTACTTATTCCAATATTTCTTCTTCTGTTAGCGTCCCCGCTGTGACTTATTCATCATCGCAAGTGACAAAGTCTTCAAAAGTAATGTTTAACCCAAATATGTGCTTATTCCGTTCGGCAGGCATTTTATTGTCGTCCTGTTGAATGATCTTTTGAACTTCTAAAGATAACTACATGTTCTAAATCGGTTTTTTTATTGCAAGGGATGTTACGTTTCGCCAAACTTTGTCCATCATCTACATTTCTTGAAGAACCTTAATAAAAAGAACTATATTTGTTCAAATAAGTTATCATTTTTCTAATACCATTTTTTTACTTTTTTTTAGATAAGCTTACATTTACCCGAACATGAATTTATCTTTTATGTAACAGTTTCTTATAAAAACAAGGTCTGTTTATTTCCAAGTCATATAGTATCTTGATAATACAGTTATCAAGTTACATATGTGTTAAAAACAGAAAAAAACAACTTTTTTAAATATTTGTATTTTAAAAACTAAAAATTGATTTTATTTAAAATTTGCACACAGAAAAGTTTATCATTTGAATAAGTTGTTAAAATGTGAGCTAAAAATAATAAAAATTGTTGAGTGTTTCCTGCAGTTTCATCGTTGAATTTTTTGTGATAAGCAAAATATTTCGGTGAAAATTTTTCTTAGTTTATGCCTTTGGTTTGTGATGAACAAATGAATTAAGAGAACAATGAGATTTTACTTTGTGAAATAAATTTGAATGCATCTTTGTCTTAAATTTTTTAGCATTTTTCTCGTTTTTAAAATATTTTTTTCGTACAAAACAAGAACAAGTCAACCGATTAAAACTCCCTTTGTCTAGTCAAAAAACAAAAGTATAAAGATGAACTGTGTAAAGTTTGACCGAAATCGGCCAATCGAATGTCCGAGAAAAACGCGTGTAAAGTTTTTAAATCTCTATAACTCCGGTAATCTTGCTTGGATTTACTGTAAATACTCAAGAAGTACTATATTTTCATATTGAATAAATATAATAAATATTTTTTTTTAAATACAAAAACCTAGACCGTGAAGACAATAATAAACAATATGCTCTTTTATATTACCTCATGGGCCAGCAATCTATTTCGCCATGCTGACATTCGCATGTTTGACACTGAAATGACCACTTATCACCGTGCTTCAGTATGACCCCAGAGAGTTCTTGATGGCGACAAGAATGCTTGGAGTTGCATTGTGGACAACAGGGGTTCTCGTCCATGTATGGCAGACTGCAATTGCACCTAAATAAAATAAATTAAGTTTAGTAAAGTTTTAACAATATATTTGTTACTCCAGTTTCTAATATATAACTTTCAATATTTTGTAAATTTGTAAAACCTTATAGAGTCATTAAAATTTACTTAATAATAATCCATATCCATTAATATCCATCCATACATATATATATATATATATATATATATATATATATATATATATATATATATATATCTATATTTTATAGTTAAACAATCACTTACTTAATTGATTCGCATGTCATAACACCCCTTTCACATTTACATTCTCGGCAGGGATGGTCTCTCGGTGAAGTGATCATGCCGTGAGGTATTTCCCTATCTTCGAACATACAGCTTAACTTACAGTTAGGTCTGTTGGGAGAACATTCACACCGAAACCCTCCGTCTGTATTTAGACATTGAGCTGAAGGGTGGCACGTGTGAAGATCACTATTACATTCATTAATATCTAAAAAAAATACATTGAGTTCAAGTAATACAAATAAAGTTTTAAAATTTCAAAGTATAGCTGATGTGCTTAGTCGATGTTTTACAAAAAAAAAATACGAAAACATTTATTAAAATACGTGTAACAATGATAATCTGAATATAAGCCAAATACTGGGGTTACTTAACTACCAACAGATATTTTTTAATGAAATAATTGTAATAGCTTGAGCTAAGATACTAAATCACTTACCTTTACAAATTATTCCTAAATTATTGTCTTTAGAAGGATTCTGATATCCGTTTTTACATTCACAGTAATACCAGCCTATCATATTTACACACATTGAAGTATTTGTACATCTATGCGTATCAGTAGCGCATTCGTCCAAGTCCAGCTCGCAGCTGTGGCCCGTATAGCCATTGGGACACGTGCATTTGCCTGGACTACTACAAATGCCTCCGTTGAGGCATTTTTGTCTACAAATGGCTAAAAATAATAAAACCAAATTAATTTTTAAACTTCTGCACAATATTTGAAAATACCATAATATTCATATTAATAATAAGAGTTTCTACCACGGTGCTCTAAACAATATAATAGAGCTTCAACAGAAAAGATACGCTAAGGATTTTATGGGTTGCAAGGAACAACTTATCATCGACTTAATCATTTCTAACTAGGCATATATAAAAAAAGAAACTCTTTACAGACTTAATTTACAACAAGAAATCCTTTAAATCAATACCGCCTGAATGGCTTATAGATATTTTAAAAATATATAAAGTCAATGATAACATTGTGCCTTTTTTAAGGAATATAATGACTGATTAAAAGACTTTAATTTACCTTCAAATACCTGGTGAAAATATTATCAAAACGGAAAATATCACAATCAACCGCGGTCTGTTCCAAGGATACTTGTTGAGCCCATCGTGATTATGTCCAGCGATGAACCACTTATCTGAACTATTGAACTCTACTGACTCAGGTTTTAACATTAAAAACAACAATACTATAGTACCGAAACTTAATAATCTGTTGTATATGGATGATTTAAAAGTAATGGCCTCCACTCGAAACCACATAAATCAGATGCTAAAAACTGTACTCTACCTAGAAGATGATATTAGTATGCACTTCGGTTTAGACGAGTACCATATTTTAAATATACTCAGAGAAAGGTTTTAGTCTGCAGGACTCGATATGCAAAATTTCCGAAACATCGAGGCTATGGCTGAAAATGACAAGTATACATATCATGGAGTAAAGCAAGAGCGGAAAATTGACCAAAAAATGAAAATCGAATTAACTTGAAAGTTTATACGAAAGGTTAAAACAGCTGCTGCGCTTACATCTAAACAATAAGAAATGTGTTTGAAAAGTACAAACACACCTAACAAGGCACAAAAAACATAACGCGGTATTTAGGAGGAAAGGGACATGGATATAAGTGGGTAATTGACAAACAGATTATTAATTTACGAACTTATTTACATATACAGGCTGAGACATCTACTTTAGAATAAATTGTGGAAGCCAAAAAGTCGGTTTACCTTTCTAGGAATAAAAAAATGCGCACCTAGACGATATACCTCTGCACGAGCGATATCCCAATTAAATCATTCAAGACTTGAAAGATATTCCCCAAATTAGAAGGTTCGTTACTCGCCATTTAGGATAAGGTGATACTAACCAAAAATTACCTGAAATATATTGTCAAAGACCATTAGATCCAAAATGACAAATGCCGATATGAATGTCAAGCCCAAGAAACCATCCAACATCCTACTGGCGGCTGTCAGGGACTTCTTGCGACCAAATATAAAGAAAGGCATGTTTCGGTAGAAAAGATCCTTCATCAAGAGATAGCTATAGAACTGGGATATGTTCCTAAAAGTATACTTAAAAATGACAACTACAAGTTATACTGGGACCAGAGTGTGCTCACAGATCAAACTGAAGTGATTCCAAAGAACCTGCGAGAAAACATGAAAAAAACTGGGTCTGAATAATCATTACTATAAGACCATACAGAAAACTGTACTACTCTTGACATCCAGATACTTACAAAATTTTTTGGAAGATACTCCAACATACCAAGTCATCTAGTGCTCGATAACATGGAAAGAGTCTAACCAAAGCTCAATCCTTTTGATATCGTAGATATCTGGGAGGATTTAATTTTTACCTTTACTTAATAATATATTATATAGAATGAGCAACAAAAGGACTTAATATCTCGGATATAGAATGGGCAACAAAAGAATTGGTATGATGTGTTACGCAGACGATGCAGCAATTATTTCCGAATCAGAAGATGATCTCCAAAGGCAGCTCTTTCAGTTCTTTCAAACAAGCCGACTACTAAATATGAACATCTCTACCAACAAAACTAAATGTATGACAATAGCAAAAGATCCGCTCAGATGTAAGTTAGTGGTTGAGGACAACCCCATAGAACAGGTGATGCAATTCAGATATCTGGGCATAGATATATCAAGCACCCACGACCCAGTAAAGAACCTGAGGAGTCAGATCAACAAAGCATCTGCACTGTCAGGATGTCTGCGGGAGATAGTCTGGTCAAATCCGTATATGCGCACAGATAGTAAAATTAGAATCTATAAGACTTGCATACGACCGATCATGACATATGGCATAGAAGTGCGCGAAGATACCAACAAAACGAAACAGATGCTAAGGGTTGCCGAAATGAAAACCCTAAGAACAATAATGGGGAAAACAAGAAGAGACAGAGTGAGAAATACAAACATTAGAGAGCAGTGCAAAATTTAAGATATTGTAAGATGGGGAAGGCAACGCAAGAGGATGTGGTATAACCATGTAAGACGAATGGATGAGAATATACTCACAAAAATTGCCCTAGAAAACAATCCGCCCGGTTCAAGACCCCCCGGAAGACCACCTAAAAGATGGAGGGATAGTTGGCAATCTACCTCCCAAGAAATTAACCAGAGGCAGCTTCAGAATTAAACAGATCGAAAGATCTACAAAAAGTAGAAGAAGACTTAATAATAGCATGAGCTGTAGCAAGCGTTAGACTAATAAACAGTAATAATAATAAAACTAAAAATCTTCCCACAAAAGAACAGAAACAACATTCCAGATATGCGATAGGAAGAACAATATTAACATGGTACCTAAAAGGAAGGCGCTTTATGGATATAAATAAATCAATACTCAGCAAAATCCTTTTTTTTAGTAAAGCGAGATATTTTCAGTACATCGAGCAATTTGCTAAATAGATGACACTGCTTAAATTGATACAACGTCTCTCTGAGAAAAAAAATGTACTAGATAAGGGAACCTCTACATAAGAGTCATTCCAATGAATTTAGACTTTGAGTATCGGCCATACAGCGTCAAACTATTGGTTGATACCAGGAAAGATGTTTTTTTTAACTAAATATTTTATTACTTATAAATTATCATTAATAATAAGATAATCCCAACAATAAACTACCTTAAATATGCCATCAAAGATGCAAAAGAGCAAATGACAAAAGGCGATAGGGATTTTAAACCCAAGAAACGACAAAATACCTAGTAAAACGCTTAATGGAACTATGGTGGGACGTCGGTCAGTACTCAGTAGGAAGACTAAAGAAGGGATTGATAGACGAATTAAGAACCAAGGTTAAAGAGATATTGAGTGTGAATAACTGAATAAGAGCAGGAGAGAGGATACTAAGAGAGGCGATAGCCAGAGAGATGTAAATTCCTAGCAGAGAGAAGAGATAACTAACAAACTATAACTTCTCCAAACCATGTTTAAGGATAGTTATATATATATATATGTATATATATATATATATATATAATATATATATATTATATTTAGTGTCCACGCCTCCAACCCATATAACAGGACCGGATTAGTGGACACTAAATAAGCAATGTATGGGTAAGCTGGAGGCATTTGAGATGTGGGCGTACCGAAGAATGTTAAAAATCTCCTGGAAGGATAAGATAACTAACCAAGTTGTATTAGACTGGATGAACAAACAAAAGGAGGTCGTATTGAGTGTTGAAATGAGGAAACTGCAATACCTGGGACATATTACACGTGGGAATAAATATCAACTGTTACAACTAATTATGCAAGGAAAGATTGAAGGTAGGCGCAGCATAGGTAGGAGAAGAATGTCATTCCGAGCGGCAGCCTCCAGGGTCGAAATTGCCATGATGTTAGCCAACCTTCGTAGCGGAGATGGCACGTGAAGAAGAAGAATATATTTTTGGATTCACTTGGTAGTTTTTAAAAAGTATTTGCGACTTGAGATCTACTTGAGTAGATCAAGACTTGAGTCTTGCAAGATTTGGTTGACTGTTTCAGGTTCCCTGCTATAGAATCTACAGTTTAAGTCTGTATAAAACAGCTTCAATGTATACAGTTGTTCCTTGACTAGCGCTTGTTTATTAAAAAGTTATAATTCTCAGCTGATTTCTGCTTGTTTTTTTGCAGCACTTTATCCCTATTAGAGCATATCTATCCAGTATATTTTTGTTATATGCTTGTATATACTTTCCCAGTACAAGTTTTATTGTGTGCGAATCTAGGATTTTTACTGGTCACGGACGAGTCGTTTTGTCACTTCTACTGTAGGCTCTGCACCGAATTATTGTATGGCTGGTTCTCTTCAGATATTTTTTTGCCATAAATTTCCCTATACCCTAGAACCCATATCAGTGTAATACTGTTAAGCTAGGTCATCTTGAAGATCTTAAATAGGACATGCATAATGTTTCTTACTTCTAGATTCGTAAGGAAATTTATAAGATATACATACAAAGTGCATATCGATGGAAACAGATATGCATGGACGACATACCGATGGAATCAGCCAGAAGAATGTTAACAGTACATCGTCGAACTATTAGTTGACATCAAGTAAGGTATTTCCCAAAACAGAACATTTTCTACTAACCGTTCAGGATCAGGCAATCTCAAACAAAACATAAAAAACTGCATGACTCAGTAAGACAGAAATTTCATCAAGAGATAACTCAATGTGTTTAAACCAACCATGTCCTATATTATCAATGTATCCCTGATAGTATTCTTAAGTAACGTACTAATACTGTTATCAACGTACTATACTCACAGATAAACCAGTGTCATATAATGAACCGGATCATATGTTAGTAATGAACTAACTTGATAAACAATACTAATTGATGTAGTGCTACTTACATACCTACATACCTATCTATATACTCTAGTAAGAAGAAAACAAATGATGGAAAATATCCAGACAATATTTATTATTCACTCTACTACTGGTGTCATTCCAAGGAACCCTCCAGAGAACACAATACCTATGTGCTTTTGTGAACATGTCTATAAGACCATGGAGAAAGTGGTACTGTTATCAACATCCAAATTGAATGAACATTTGTGGAACGTACTCAGGCATACCACGAAACCTAGAGCTACAAAACGTGGAAAAAACTCTACTAGAGCTCAACCTCTTTGATACCACAGGTGCCTTAGATGTAATTAAAAATTACTTACGTTGACAAGAATACCCATCGCCGGTGTAGCCTTGCTTGCACACGCAATGGTAACTTCCTTGAGTATTAATGCACTCGGCATTTACATCACAGTTATGTTCTCCCGTGCTACATTCGTCCAATTCAGCGCAATTGAACTTGTCTATCCTTCTGTAGCCAGAAAGGCATTCGCACACGTACGAGCCGGGAGTGTTGACACATTTTGTGTTCTGGTGACAGTGGTGGCCGTAGAGGCCGCCTTCTTGTTGGCATTCGTCGATATCTAAATGTAAATAAGGTACATAATTAATTAAATTTACTTTAAATTAAATATATATATATATATATATATATTATATATATATATATATGTATATATATATATATATATATATATGTATATATATATACATATATATACATATATATATATATATATATATATATTATATATATATATATATATATATATATATATATGTATATATATATATATATATGTATATATATATACATATATATACATATATATATATATATATATATATATATATATATATATATATATATGTATATATATGTATATATATATACATATATATATATATATATATATATATGTATATATATATATATATATATATATATATATATGTATATATATATACATATATATACATATATATATATATATATATATATATATATATATATATATATATATATATATATATATATATATATAACGTGATTATTTCGACGAAAAAACAATTTATCAGTATGTTTGGAAATATCGGGTATGTGGTCTATATTAAATAAAAAATCTTTCTTTTTTCTAAAACTCAATATTTCTCCATTTATTTAACAGCTTCATCAGGAGTAACTGTAAAAAACAAACATTTCAAAAAAACTGACGTACACTTAAATTTACAATACTTACAGAAATTAAAAGATTTCACACATAAATAAACTTGATATTAAAATAAACATTTTTGATAATGTATATGCATGTTAAAATATAAATATATTTGAGCACGTTCGTTAACAATAAATAAGATGGAAACAACTAAAAGTTATTTAAAATGCAAAAACTAACAATGTAAGAAAACATTAGAGGAATATTATTTCTTTAATTAATCATTAAGGCTAGTTAGTATGATTAATCATTAAGGTGAGTTGTTTTTAAATTTTGTTCAATATATTGCAATATATGTTGCGTAATTGCCCCGTGTCTGTTTTATAATTTAAAGTTTGTTTATTTTTGTTGATGTGGTACATCTCCAAAAATAACCTACTTTTGTAATTGTCAGTCTGTGCCAAAATACGATGATAATTTATTACAGAAAAATCTGGACATATTATACAAAATTTTTCGAAACTACGGCTATCCTAAACATATTTTAAAAAAACTCATTTACAGCAGTAATTTCTATGATGGTCCTGTCCTTGATTCCAACAATGAGTCAATCAAATATAAAAAACACCCTCTTTATCAATGGTCTAACTCATTCAGTCATATCCATATTTAAAGATGTTTCCAATATTAATATAGCTAAATACAATACCATAAATAGCAAACAACTTTTTTTCAAAATTAAAGATCCAGTGCCAACCTTATATAGGAGTAATGTGGTATATGAAATACCGTGTCTAGGATGTGAAAAAAGCTACATTGGCCATACATCGCAGTGGCTAAAACAACGTATCACATAGCACAAAAGTGATTGTTCGTATGAACAATGCTCGTATTTTGGCACAGACTGACAATTACAAAAGTTGGTTATTTTTGGAAATGTACCACATCAACAAAAATAAACAAACTTTAAACTATAAAACAGACACGGGGAAATTAAGCAACATATATTGCAATAAATTCAACAAAATTTAAAACTCACTCACCTTAATGATTAATCATACTAACTAGCCTTAATGATTAATTAAAAAAATAATATTCCTCTAATGTTTTCTTACATTGTTAGTTTTTTCATTTTAAATAACTTTTAGTTATTTCCATCTTATTTATTGTTAACGAACGTGCTCAAATATATTTATATTTTAACATGCATATACATTATCAAAAATGTTTATTTTAATGTCAAGTTTATTTATGTGTGAAATCTTTTAATTTCTGTAAGTATTGTAAATCTAAGTGTACGTCAGTTTTTTTGAAATGTTTGATTTTTACAGTTACTTCTGATGAAGCCGTTAAATAAATGGCGAAATATTGAGTTTTAGAAAAAACAAAGATTTTTTATTTAATATAGACCACATACCCGATATTTTCAACATACTGATAAATTGTTTTTTGGTCGAAATAATCACGTTATATATATATATATATTATATATATATATATATATATATATATATATATATATATATAGTTGTGTGAAAAAATTAAAAATATTTACAAATGAAAGAAAGAATGATTAAGAAAAATGAATAAAGGAAATATTTATGAACTAAATAAAAACAGAAAAGCAAACACATAATTCTTCTTGTTGCCGGGTTTTCCTAAATTTCGTTTCTGATCTTGTCTTTTCTTGTTACTCCTTCCATTAAACGCTCTATATGCTCTGTGATATACTTAGTTTTGAGTCATCGGATTTTGTTAAGGACGGTATTTTCGCATCGCATATCATTACTTGCAGAACTAACTGAGTTTTAACATGTGTTATGGAAATATTTATTTTTTAACTTATTTCTCTGCAGGCTCTTTCCAGTTCTTCTAACAGTGTTAATTTCGCCTAGGCCATGGTCATCTCCTATCAAAACTAGATCATTAGCATAACTCAGGTGGTGCAGCCATTCTCCGTTGACAGTTATCCCAATATGATCCCAATTAAGGGAAAAGAGCACTTTGCTCTTTAAAGAATAATGTTTATGATTCGTTTTTTTTGTGGGTTTCTGTATAAAAATGTCTCCTTTAAACAAATCTGAATGGTGCCGTGCGAAATTTTTAAGCAGATATTTTGTTAAATAAATTCTATACCTTTTCTTGCTCCGATAAATATATGTTTTAATTTTCTGGATTATTTTAAACAAAAAAAGTCTCCTGTTATTTTTCTCTAGAGTTGATATTTTCGAGTACTAAGCGATTTAATATCTGAAAAATGTGAAAATAACTATTTTCGAGGCTTGAAAACTCATATGTAAATTATTACTTTTGGGATTGCCAAGTGCCTAAATTGAATTTTAAAAATTCCGTTTAAAGATTCTCAAGAGTAATGGAAGTTTATTTGAATTTAGATCGTTGTTTTTAATTGTTAATTATGCAAGTCGATTCGATTTTTAAGCCTCCGACGCCTCTCACGCCGCACTATTTGGGGCGTCTTTGTCTAGGTTACGGCGAAACTCAATTATCTTAAAATAATCTTTTGCCAAAAATTTCGCTTGGCACCATTCAGATTTTTAAAAGGGGACATTTTTGGAAAGTAATCCGCAGAGAAACCAAATCATAAATATATTTACTACGCAACACAGATCCTCAAAAACTAAAATTATATATAAACAATAAAATCTCTTTTGTTTATTTTTGTATATCTACACTACGAAAATTTTCGAAAAAAAAACATAAACTATATACATTTATAGCATACCAATACATGTTTTGCCGTCTCCTTGAAAACCCTGGTCACATTGGCAAGCGTAAGTTGTTTGTAAGTTAAGGCAAGAAGCATTAGCATGACAATAGTTTCCTTTGGCGCAGTAGTCAATACCTGTTAGAAACGAAAATAGCAAAGACACCACTGTTAGTTATGAAGTTAGTAAAAGCATGGAAAGGAAAAGAATGTGATTTTCGATCGAATCATTCAAAAAAACTTGGTATAAAGTCAAGTAATTACATTTTGTCGGTCAGTTATACAAGCGACGACTCGAATTCACTTCACTGTATTAATCTAGTATATTGATGGTTCAAACCTTTGCTAGAAACCAAAGCTAACGTAATAGTATAGAGTATATTTTAACTGTAGTGGTGGAAATTTCTAGGAACAGTAAAGCCTCACCAAACAAACCAGTGGCGTTTTAAAAAATACTTATGATTTAAATCAAATTGTTTAAGGTAGGTTCACACAATTTATTAAACCGTGATATTAGATTATATTTTTGGAAATATTGTACTACATTTTAATACATATTATTATAATATATCATATACATATATTGTCTGTATGTGAAACCATAGATACGTTTGACAGATTACAGTATTAATAAATAATAATTACAAAGATTGTTTTAACTTTAATACCTTTATTATTTATATTATTACTCACTTTAACGTTACCAAGTTAAATAGAAGAAAGAAATGATTTTAATAAAGTAAAAAATAATACATATATACAGGATAGTTTGGAAAACTTATATTCACATAGGTTACATCGTAATGTTAAAGTTTGTATTATTCACTTTCATAATCAGATGCACTGTCGTCGCCACTAGAATCATTTAAATCAATCCTTAATTCTTTGGTAATTGTTCACACACTTTTACGTCTTCTAACTTATAAAAGACGTTTTGTTTTGCAACTTCATTTTTTATTTGCGCCCAAAACATTTCTATAGCGTTCAAGTCTGGATTATATGACGGAAGTTTTAAAGAAACATATCCACATTTTGCAGCCCTTTGTCAAATTTATATTGAATATGATCTTGTTTGTGTCTTTTGATGATTTCATACAACTTCGGTTTTAACATTGACGTAACAAATGGTAATTTTTTTTCTCAACCAAGATATCATATCCATTTTTTTAGAATTACTGATGGGTGCTTTATTAGTTTGTACATTATGATATGACGCATTATTAGTAACAACAACAGGTACAACAGGCAAATTTTGGATTAACTGTTCTTTCATCAATTTTTCATCCATTTTTCATTATTTTCTGAATTCATATCATCATGAAAATCTCCTGTCTCAGCTCCTGACTTAAAAATCAAAATGGGATTTTGTATGAAACCCATCTCTTCATCACCATCTACGATAATCAACCTACTGTCTTTTGAAATGTTTTTAAACAATCCTTTGCCACTGTCATCTGTCTAGGTATTTGGCGTAGTGTGTTCTGCACGTACATAGGTTTCATCAACATATACAATTGACTTACCTTCGCTTCTGTAATATTTAATTTTGTCCAAATATTTAATGTGTAGAGCACGAATATCATTCCGTTCAATTAATAAACGTCGATTATCTTTCGTTTTCTTTCATTTAAATCCTAAGTCTTTTACAATTCTAACTTACACTTCCAGTCCACTCGTACACCTCTTTTCCTGTACCTCAAGCCTTTTCTGAAAAAGCTTCAATGATACACGACAATGCTCAGTCTCATGAAAACGATGAATGGTATTGTTAATAAACTGTGTGTCATACTCCCTCAAGTCTGTCGAGGCTGCTTTCATTGTGGCAAATGTTGTAGGTGGAAATTTTAGTGTATTATTTGACTTTGCGCTTGTTAACATACTCGTTTGTTGAGTGATCCTTACTACTGTACGTAAACGTATTCTCCAGTAGCTTCACTCACATGTTTTTTAATACGGGTTCTATTATCTGCAGGGAATAGTATTTGCATATATTTAAATACATTATAAACTATTTCTTTGGATTCTGGTGTCAATCTGATCTGTTTACTCGTACTACACCTAACCATCTCCATTCTACAAAATAGTTCTAATACGTGCGTTAGCACCTTTTTTGTTGAGACTCGGCAACAGAATGAGACTAAATTACGAACTTGTTTGAAATCCAGTGACTAGAAATTGTCAGAACCAAGTCTTCAGTTCTTTATATGTCCTTAACGGGTCGTTAAGAAGTCATTAATAATGTCTTTATAATTACGGTTTTAGGGTAACCGATACTAAATTAGAAATTAACTTTTACCAAACTTTATACAGTATCAATTATTAAAGATGGTATTATAACAAACAAAAAGTTTGGTATCTATAAAACAATCAAACTTCATTTATTATTTAAGTAAGTAATAATTTTGTAATTAGTGCGATTTCAAATAATTTAATTTGTTTAATATTGCAACGCCACTGCATGGGTCTGATCATAGGTATTACCTCACTTTATAGATCACTACCTGGCGAGCTTGTAAGCTTAAAAACCCGTATTATGGAGGTAATGACATTTACATGCAAACTTAAGCTTCATAATATATCTTACATTTTATAAGTTTTTTTTAATGATTCATCGCTAATCTAATATTAGTTATTAAAGATTACTAATGAAATATTTAAGTATAGTATTCAAAAGACTTCTCATATAGTTGTTTTTATCATTGCTGGTTTTGTATTTTAAAATACAACTATAGTATTAAATAATAAATTTACATTAAAAAGCTCGATTAATGATGTAGTAGAATTTAAAATAAATGTATGTAAAAATAAAAGGTATAATAAAGTAATATATTAAAATAATAACAAAACAGTTGTTTCGTTTACAATTTAACAGTAAATATTCGTATTAAATACCTTCTCATGTTCTGCACTTAGCTACTCATTTGGTATTGTTAAGTGGATAAAAATAGACAGAAAATCGTTAGCGAAAAGTACTACGACTTCTCACGAAGGAAGAACAAATTGTTCTCGTAGTGCAGTAGAATTATATCTGTGTATTTTATTAATTTCCATAGATTCTAACAAATATAGCTTAAGGCCTTTATTTTGGAAATAAAGAATTTGAAATTTGTCATTAAAAGAATGATTATGATTTAGAAGGTAAAGTGTGTATATAAAACCTGTTTTTCTATTATTAAAAGCCATTTTATGTTCTACTATGCGTTTGTTAAAAGTTCTACCAGTTTGACCGATGTAAGTTTTTGGGTAGTCGCCACATTTAAGTTTGTATACACCACTGTGTAAATGCTTTTTATTTTGGCTTTTGTTGTTGTTAATATATTTGTCTAAGTTGTTGTTCGTTTTAAAAGCTTGTGTTTTTTATGTATTTGGCTATTTTTGCTAATATGTTGCCTGTATATGTAATCAAACAGAAAATACTGGGTTTTTCTGTGGTTGTGGATATACTTACTACAACGAAAAAACAATTAATAAAATATTAAATCAAAAACTACACAAGAAAGCCCTGACATTAATATTTCCACTACTAGAAATAAAACTCGGTACCTTATATAGGTAAGATATCAACAAAAATAGCCAATCGCATAAAAAGAAAGAAATAACACCAACTTTTACAACAAAGAATAACTTAATATATTTTATAGCAAATATATTAAAAACAGCAAGAGCCAAAATAAAAAGCACTTGCACATTGGTGTATAAAAAACTTAAATGGGGCGACTACCCAAAAACTTACATCGGTCAAACTGGTGGAACTTTTAAAAAACGTATAGCAGAACATAAAAGGGCTTTCAATAATAGAAAAACAGGAACTACACTATTACTTAACTACATTAACTATTTTACTGTAAAACTTGTACAAACTAAGAAGAAAACTTAAAAAATCGGCTCAGCAAAAGATGTATAGAAAAATAAAACGACAAATTTAAATAATGTTAAAAAGGAGCAAATGTCCCATAGCCCAGATTGATTCCATACCAACGTCCATGCACCTCTACACTTGCTGTTCGAAATTATGACAAACATTTTTAAGCATTGCAGATTTGATAGATACAGAATTTAATACTTTTTTGTATCGGTTTATCTAGCTTCTGTTTTGAGTAACTTTTTTTTATTACACAAAAGTTTTCTAAACAATACTACAACGATGTTTTACATCTGCAGGATGTTCTAAAACGGCTTCAATATTTATTTTTTTTTTAAATATAAGTATTTAAATAAATGCAAGTAACTATTTTATATGAGACTAAATTAAATATTAAAGATAATTGTAAATTTTAAACGTAATTTTTTATTTAAAGCAAAAGATATCTATATGAGAACTCATTTCATACTTTTTTTATCAGAGTAATTATATTGTATTTCACTCAGTTGAAACAAATAATGTACCTGGACAAAACATGCAACATTGATCAGTTACGTTGAACTGCTCTTCGGGAGGACAATTTAATTTTGGACACGCTGTAGCTGGATTTATTCTATTGCACTTCATATTTCCGTCATGGCAAGCACATTCGGTGCACTTCTTTATCGTGACCACCTCCCCATGGTCATAAAACACTCCAAGAAACATGCATTCCTCTAAAATATAAATATGTTATTTGTAGAATATGTAACAGTAGATAAAAAATTTATTTATAAATGGTTAAATGTATATAAATAACATTAATAAAAGTAAAAATTGAATAAGTAATAAACGGATTATATAAAACGGGTTTAAAAAAAATAAAGAGAAGAAAACAAAAATTTTGATAAAAAAATGTAAATATATAAATAATTTAATGGAAAGCTCAAAAGCAAGGGAGGCAAAGACAAGATACTCCAATAATTAGATTATATGGTAAAATCGTTAAAGAAAATATAGAGGATCAGATGCGAACTTCAGAAGAATCTAGTGGTTTTCGTTCCGGGTCCTCATGTACTGACAATATTTTTATATAAAACAGATCATAGAAAAAACAATAGCATTTAATGCTAAATTGCACATTGTATTCGTGGACATCCGAAAGATCTATGACAGGATCCTAGTAAACAACCTGTAAAGAGCAATTAAAAAGCACGTTGTATTCGTGGACATCCGAAAAGCCTGTGACAGGGTCTTAGTCAACAACCTCTAAAAAGCAATTTCAAAGCACGGAGTAGTATCATTGTCATTATTTTGGCTTTATAACCCTGCGTGGGTCCTAGTCATATTATAAATAATCTCTAAAGTTACTATCCAGGAGAGAACTTAAGTCTTGACGAAGTCCTCTTACTGTGGAGAGGGCGGTTAATATTCCGACAGTATATGCCAAAAAAAAGCTAGTAAATATGGAATAAAAATTTATGAGATTACTAGATCTGATATATTTTTACTAAATTTCCTAATCTACAGCGGCAAGGGGACAGTAGTAAATGAAAATGGGCATGCGTTTGAAGTAGTTCACAGACTTGTTACTGAATATTTCGAGAGGGAGCACACTATCTACATGGACAATTATTACAACAGTTAAGAGCTTGCCAAGGTTTTACATGAAAAGAAGACCTACGTTTGTAGAACATTAAAAAAAAATATAAAAAGTAACCCAAAGAGTGGTATTACAAAAAAAATAAAGAAAGGAGGAGTCGTATGGCAAAGAAGAGGTCCAATCATAGTATTAAAATGGAAAGATAAGAGAAATGTAATGTGATTTCATCCAAGCATGGTTCCGAAATTGTTAAAGTTCAAAATCGTAGAGGCCAGAAAAAGTTGAAGCCAGTAATGATTCGTGACTATAATTCCTTTATGTTGGGAATTGACAGAATTGACCAGATGACTTCATATTATGGCACACCACGAAAAACTCTGAGATGGTACATAAAAGTTTTTTTTCACTTACTAGATATTTGCATGTGGAATGGCAATTGGTTGTTGAATAAAAATAGGAACATGTCAAAGAAAACAAGAATGTCGTACCTTCAGTTTAGAGAGGAAGTGATCAAACATTTACTGGGACAAACAGAACGGCCAAGCAGAAAAAAAGTTATTGCAGCACACAACTTGAAAAAAGAAAATAAGTGGAAAAGATGTCGACAGTGCAATGCAACCAAGAAAAGGGCTGTCACCTGACACACAGCTCACCTAAGACGATTATGCAGGAAGTTTGCAGAGATATTTCATTATCCAGATGATCCGTTAACATTTTCCAACCAAATAAAGCACCATATAATATACAAACTAGAGATAAAGTTTCAGTTTATAACAAGTCATATCGGTATCCGCATCTATAAGAAAAAAGTACGTAAGCAGCTAACTTCAATGCTAGATCACGAAATCATCAGACAGAGTCAATCACCTTGGTCATTCCCAATCTTGGCCGATCAAAAAAATAACAAGATACCCCAGGAAAAATTAAATGGTGAACAGTTGTCTATTACAGAAAAGTGAAGGAGAAAACCATCGATGACCATCAGTGACTGAAAATGGCCACTATGTATACTTGAGAATCGTCTTTATAACAATATCGTACTGCTCACGACGTTTACATATGTCACACGTTTCTGAAAGACACTCCAACGTACCAGGACCTTGATAATATAAAAGGAGTATAAAGGTGCTGTATATAAAATATTTGTGAATGTATACGTATATCATTCCTTTTAGCCTTGTTCGTAATAGTTTAATTAACTTGTTTAATATTAGATTGCCTAACCTAACCTAATTTTTAAAAATTATTTAACCTGACAGTTCAGTTGCTTTCCTTTCAAATTTAAACTAAAGTATACATAAATAAAACTTACTTAAACAACTCGGACAACATTCCCCACTCTTATTTACTGGATGTTTACAACTTATCTTAGGACATTCCACATGCTGACATTTTACCTCACCATGCTAAAATAAAAATCAAAACAGTAATTGTAATTAGAGTATATTGAATATATATGAGGAGAAACAGACACACAATTTAAAAATTACTGTTTAAAGTATTACAATTTTTAGGTTAATAAACCTCAGAAGTGCTTTTGATTGCATTTCAATAAAGGATTTAGCTGTTGCGAAATATATGACATGAAATTATGAATAAAAATAAAATGCTTCCTTTTAAAAATTAAATGCAAGTAAGGATAATTAGAAAAATTACGTAGAAAGAAGTAGAAGTTTTAGCAATCTAAAGTAAAATTTAAAGTGTCTCTCTGATCCTATTGTTATTTAATATTGAAATAAATGAAGCAATATAAAAGTATGACAATGTAAATATTATTTTTTTATTTATTTAAAATGCTATTGAAAGTTTTAATATACTTACCACACACGAACACAAATCACAGCCAGTTTGCCATTTTGCTCCATCTTCATAAACGGAATCATTATAATGGCAAGATTTATGACAATCACATTCTTCTACTTTAGTTATACGACTTTCAGCTTGCACTAACTATAAAACAAATAAAATCATTTAATAATGCGCATAACATAGAGATCAAAAGTAATGTTAAAAAGATACTTATAAATTGTTTAGAGCCCATATGCTACAGGATCTGGTAAAAATTTAAAGAATTTAAATAAAAACGATCTTACGCTCAATACCTTTTAGATACTTGACAAATTCGTAGAAATATGTACACGTGATATACTAAACGAAACATTAAGTCAATACATAGGATAGTTTGGAAAAAAAAACTTAAAATACAGTATGTCCATTAAAACTTTGTATAAATATTACATGATTCACGAATTATTTGGTATATCACGTTTCTTTTCTACTGAACTTAAAATCATGAAATTTAAATGGTTGTGGATGCACTAAGGGAAAGTTAAGAGGAGAAAAGAGTATAAAAAGAAGCAGAATGTCATGGTTGAAAAATGTAAGAGACTGGTTTAGATGTAGTTTAATAGAACCCTTTAGAGCAGCCTTAGATATAGTGAATATAGTGATGATAATAGCCAATCTGAGATTGGAAGACGGCAATTAAAAAAGAAAAGTCGACCACTACGAATGTCTTATCTTTCGTCAAGAAGTTTGTTCACTTAAAAAACACCACAGGCAAACCGGGCACATCGATAAAAATCAAATAGATTTTATGAAAATAAACAAACGAATCCGTACCAATGATATCGAAAGGAACTGGATCCAAACAAGGGACGTTATATGCAACGGTATGAAAGAAGTGATCGGTTACTGAGAACGAAAGAAGGACGAGTAGATCAAAAGCTATATGTTACATCGTCTGGACAAAAGGAGGGGGACGAAGTAGTCACCAACATCAAAGAAATATGTTAAATAACACCAATATGACGGATGGGTGGAGCATATACGGGTGGTAGCCCAGAAGGTAGCGAAGAGTGCGGTTGCGATTGGTAAGGTGATGCCTAACGTTAGAGGACACTGATCAGAAAGGAGGAAAACCTTACACGGTGTGCAGTCAATCATCCTTTAGGCAGCACCAGTCTGAAGTGAGTTGATAGAGATACCAACCTACAAAGCGCTCATGATATGGGTAAACAGAACAAGTCTGTTGCGAGAAGAATGCACATACAGGGCTGTATCTGAGGCGACCTTGTGGACTATTACGGGTTGTATTCCTCTGTGCGTGTTAGTGGTAGAAAGGAAACATCTCTATGAGAAAAGAGAATATTTGACAGCAGCCATAACAAAATAAAAAGAGTAAGATCAATAGAAATATGGCAAGTAGGCCAATATGCTGATCTAAGTCTAAGGGACTGTATGAACTGTGGTCACAGACGACTGAATTACTTTCGCTTGTGAGCACGCAAGTGCTCACAGGGCATTAGTGTTTTAGGACATATCTTCATAGATTAATAAAAACAGATTGAAATAAATGCCTATACTGTGAATATTCTGATACTGTTACTCACACAAGGCTGGAGTGTTGGAATAGACGGACAGTGCAGAGAACAGAATGTATGAAGAAAAAGATACAAACCCTGTTACTGTGAAAGAGATAATGGTGAAGATGACGGTAAGTATGAAGGGATGGAATATTATACATAATTACATTAGAACAGTAATTAAAAAGAAAGAAGAAGAAGAGAAACACCAGTCGGACCAACTATAGAGATAATATAAATAAGGGAAGGGAGTGCACTGAAAATGTCGTCAGTCTTACAGCGGAATCTAACTTTCGGAGTACGGTACGTGCGAAAGTCAACTTGCCACAAGTAGAGGACGGATGGTTTTAGTTGGTAGGCAGGATAACACAAATGCATCCGTTTACAGGACCTCATTCTTCTAACAAAAAATGGGCTTAAATGTTCCCCTATACTCTAAATTTAACACACGCCAGCCCTACCTAAGGATGGGTTAACCTGGTACGGATTTTAGGAAAGAAAAAAATGTAACTGCCAGCAAAAAGGTAAAAGTGGCTAAATAGAAATGGTTACGAAAAAAATGTCAAAAGATAGAAGAGCTAGAACTAAGACACAATGTCTTTTATATGCTTAAAAAGAGTAAAGAGTTTTCTTATAATTATACAAGAAAAATCAGCTTAAAGGTAATCAGACGATAACAACAAAACTTATTGTAGACAAAGAAGAACAGTTACAGTTACATAATTCAAAACATTTTTTACGAAATATAATAATGTAATGAACACTCTTCAACAAAAAGGACCACAGATATTACAAAATGAGTTAACGAAAGCTACAGAATAAACAAAAGATGGAAAATCAATATGTTAAGATAAAATATCAGTATAGTTGATAGAGTTAAATTAAAGATGAAGTTTTTAAGACAACAATCTCAATGCCACATTAAAACTATTCAATAAGAAAGTATCTATACGTTTTTGCCAATTCCCAATAAATTAAGTTCTAACACGTACAATGAATACTGCTTCATAAGTTTAATGAACTATATCATTAAAGTGTTCCTGAGTATGATCCATTCGAGAAAACGAATAAAATTAGAGTAAAGTTTAAGTAAAACACAATTCGTCTTTTGGCAGGCAACCAATTTGAATTTAAGATCAACAGAAAAAAACGTTCATTTTTGGTGGATAATACAAGATCAACCAATATTTATATACCTGCAAGATGAGTCTTACAATTAATATACAAAAAACCGACTAGGTACTTAGTTGCAGGAGAAAAATCAGAAAGTCTACAAATTGAAAATTAAAAGGGAACTATAAAATCAATTAAAACAACATCAACAGCAGAGAGTAACAAAGAAATACATTCTAGGATTGGTCAAGCAAGATTAGCGACTGTACACTTGCACGGACCATTATGGAATAATAAAATAACAAATGAAAATAAAAGAAAAATTTATATAATAGAAAGTATTGGGTTGTAGGCTGCTGAACTCTGGGAAATAAATTAAGGAATGGTATGGATACCTGCACAATATTTTTGAAAATAAAGAGATCAACAAATATAGAAAAATAAACTCCGCCCACTAGAAAAATACGAGGTAGACCATGACGGTCATGGAGAGAAGATGTCGAAGATGCAATGACCGCCGAAACTTTTTTGTTTGGAAAATATTCATGAATGGATATTTTATTAAAGTAAATAGATATGGCATATTAAAAACAAATATACAGTATTTAAAAAAATAGTGCTTTGTTTTTTAGTGGCGCCGTAGAGCAGTTGCCAAGATACTGGGCTCTTAGCCTTATCGTCCTTACTCGACGCAATGAGTACAAGAATGATGGTAATTTATAAGGGTAAATTGTTGGTACATAGTGGAATATAATTTATTCCCAGCACCGCTCTGAATGGCTTGATTAAGCTTGGGTATACAGTTTACTTTAATTGCTATCGACGTATCTTCACATGAATTTAATTTTTGGCACCAACAACGGCATTTTTATTTTTAATCACGTCACGTGAAGCCGTCGGTTCCTCTGGGCTACTGTGCATTGACACTAGTTACCTGGTGGTTAATGAACATAACCTAAGGGGTGAAAGATTGGCGCCGGAACAATCCGAAACGATCTTCCTGGGGAAATGACTTACGAAGTTATTATTATATTATTCCTTTTTATAAATTACCAAAGTGTTTTAATATCAAAATTTAATTTAAAAAATAATAAATATTATCTGCTCAACTACTTTACTCATGAACGAGTGTACAATTAAATACACAAATTAAATGTACAATACTTATGTACAATTAAATAATACCGGCAACATGTTCCAAAAACGCACAATGGACTACCTAAATTCTGACGTCACAATGGGTCACAACAACAAATAATATCAATCGCACAAAATTAATGTATATAACCGAAAGTCCTTAATCATTCTTTAAACCAATATTTCCAACTTCTTATGAGACAAATAAACACAAATTAGTAATGTTTGGAGAGTTTTTTAAAACTCCACCAATTCTGATGTAAGACTTAGGTAATACATAGCTGTATGTGCTAGAGAGAATCGAATAGTTACGAGCGCGTGCAACCTTTCACGATAGAGGCGGCAGCTGCCGGTATTACTCAGCATTAGATGTTTCACATTAAAAAGCTGGTCTATATAGTTAAAAGAAACTAACAAAATACACAAAATAACAAACTAAATAGATTGTTCCAAATTTTCACCAGATTCTTGTATCTTGTAGTGAAAAATTTTGTTTATGCTGTTAGGGCTTAGAGTACTGTACGCATTATTTATGTGAATTACATGGTAGTCCATATACCCTTTCGGAAAGTTCCTGAAGATGCCTTGTTAGCTCCTGAACGGTATTCTGCAACAAGACGAATTGGCCGCAGGTGGGACACATCGAATCCACATGCGGGCATGACGACAGATAACCGTGGGGGCCTCGAATTAGTTTCAGTTCATCTAGAATACCCTAAAACAATAAAATGTATAATTTTATATATAATCAGCATTTAATTACTAATGTACTTCATTCATAAAAATGTATACATTATAGTACCAATCATTATACTCGACTCCTTTTAAAACTCCTCGACAAAATTAATGCTCCACTCATATTTTTCTCAATAATCTTTATTTATTGATAATTTACTGTACGATAAGTTTGTTCAATCACAAATTAACCCCTTAATTTGTAATCTCACATTATTTTTAACTTCTTAATCTTTTATAGTTTCACCGTGTATAAGTTTGCATTATATATATATATATATATATATATATATATATATATATATATTTGCATTATATATATATATATATATATATATATTATATATATATATATATATAAGGTAGTCCAAAATTTTTTGACTAGTTTGGAAAAAATATGTAAATACTTTTTTCTTTTTGGGTGTGGTAGTCAATAAAAAATAGAGCTTTGCTAAGGCGTACTATTTATTCTGAAATCCGAGCTTTCGGTGGTTATTTGCCACCTTTATCAAGGTCTACAATGAAAATTACTGTGTTATAACATTAGGCTGATGTAATATAAAAGTTATAAAAACTTACCAGAAAGTAAGATTCATAGCATATAAAACACAACGTTAAATAACATAATGTGATCTGAATTATTGAAGGCATTAAAAATTTTAAAAAACTTTAAAATACTTAAAAATTAAAGAACATGTTACAAAGTTTAAAAAGTAAAAAATAAGACGACATGTTTGACAAAAAACAGTCGTCTTCGCAGGTTTGAATTCAGTCACATCTCACGAACAGAAAGAGGTAGTAGGAGGTCATTTCCCAGCTGCAATATTTCTCCTAAATTACCTTTTGGTGGTGACTCTAAAATATTTTGGGGAGGGGGAGGTAATTTGTTTTAAAGCTCGTACGGAGTTTGTGTTGTCCCCATACATACGAGATCTAAATGAATGCCCATTATTACTTAGACAACATTATTGTCGAACATGTAATGCGTTTTGCTCCGTTTCTTAGACCTAATTTTTTATTCATGCAAGACAACGCTGGTCTTCATGTGGCTCGACAGGTTATTGACTACCTGAAATGATGTTGATATTCCATAGCTAGAGTGGCCACCCAACAATCCGCACATAAATCCTATAGAGCATCTATGGAAGTATCTCAAAACAAAAGATTCGAGGTCGTAGACCTCCTATTGCTAATTACAACCAACTCATTGAGGCCGTTATTGAAGAATGGGAGAATATTCCGCAGTTTGTTGTTAAACATTTGATATCAAGCATGCTTCGACGCATAAATGCAGTCATAAGAAAAGAGAAAGTCCTACATGGTATTAGTGTTGACGCAGATGAATTTTATTGTGTTACTTTATTGATTTTTTTTTTCTTTTTGCAATTTGGAGTTACGCTAGCTTATTTACACATTTCCGGCAAAAACAAATTTTTAAAGAAACAATAAGGCAAATTAAGGTCATCATAACGTCATATTGGACTTATTTGTAGGTGGTTATTATTATTTTAATGTAACTTAGTTTTATTTTTTTAGTTTCTTTAGTTTTAAAAAAGACGCATCTCCTGGTTGAGGAACCTTAGAGAATGGTTTAACTGTAGTTCACTACAACTTTTCCGAGCAGCCAACAAAGTGACTATAGCGTTTATGATATCCAACCTCCGATAGGAGATAAAACTTTAAGAAGAAGAAGTTTTATTTTAGGTTTATATTAGATTAATTAAATTAGATTAATTAAAATGGTGCGTTCATTTTTGTCCAAGAGTTTATATATATTGAGTGTGTGTGTCAATATATTCGAAATTTTGCTATTGTAGATAATAGGCAACAGGTTGTGAAGGCATTGAGTATTAATATTAAATGTATTTTTTTATGTCTTGGTATAAACAGTTTACTTGTATTTTTTAATAATTAACAGCAAGTGACAAATTCAGGTAACTATACTTTTATATCCGAAATAGTATTTTAAACCTTTAATCGTTTGTTGACAATGTCAATTTTATTCATGTGTCCTAAATATTGGTTTTATGTAGAAAACTTGTTAAAAATTCAAATATTTTTTTTAACAACTGGTATTTTTTACGTTACACTTTTTTATCCAACTTAGCAGAATTGGAACAAATTACGGTCACTTATTCTAATTGCCAATAAAGAACGTTTCTAAGTATTTTATAAATGCAATTCTTTGTCCTTTTTTGTTCATTGTTAGGTTTGGTTTTGATCAAAATAGATCTCAACGTGTTTGTTGTTTTGAATGTTGTTGAAATGGTAAATTTATTTCCTATCCTTTTAAGTTTTCTGATAGTCCTTTTATGTACGGTATTGTTATTTTCCTCATATTATTCCTTGTGTATGCTGTAGGATCTCGTTCTAAGTTGTTCTGTTCTATTCGATCGATTGTTGAAAATTCCTTATTTATAAACGATAAAGGATAATCATTTTTTAATAAAACAGATGTTAACAAATGAGGAGGTGTCAATCAAAATCAATCATGTCCATAAAAATCAAAAAATGAGTTAACAGCTGTTTCATAATATAAAGAGTGAATCCTATTCTATGGTGTTTTCGGTTTCGGTTAAAAACAGTCATGTCCTGTTTAAAATGAATACACAATATTAGGTTCCCAAATCAAATGAAATCATATCCACAGTTGGTTTCAATCATGCCACCACATGTCCATTCAGCTAATAGGAGTGCCCCGATTTGGTCACGTGATTTGACCATGTCAACACATTGTCTGTGTTTTCCCTCTAGGTTATGTCGATAGCGAGTATTGAGTTTGTATTGCACTGTGGTTTACTTTTAATATTATTACAGTAGTTTTTATTAAATAAAATTGAAATTTTCCATGGATGAAGAAAACTTAGTGAGAGTGGGCGATGCCAATGAAGGATCTCGTAAAAATAAAAAGACTGTGGATAAAAAAACTAGAGCCAAGCTTAAGCGATACAGTACTCCAGTGGTATGTCGTGTGTTTGTTCCATGAACAAACATATGAATGAAACATATGAACAAAGGTATGAAATGTGCATTAGTTAGGCCTATAGATGCTATTTTTGTTCGAAATATCCTCTACAAAATACCTGACATAAACACGCAAGATAACACCATTGCCAGTTGGATAAATCAACGTAACATAAAGCGGCGAACGCCTAGGCCTACCTCTGAAAAATCAAAGGCTAAAAAAGTTTTAGTGTACAATATTCTATACTTTCATTAACCGGTAAAGTTATACCTGTGTGTAGGAAACTTTTCATGCATATTACCATGGTGAATGGAACAAGATTGACTAATATTTCTAAAATGGTGAAAGAGGGAAAGGCTGTTAAGGATCAGAGGGGTGGCGATAGGAAGAGTCGCAAATCTACTGCGAACAAGGAATCAGTTTGCCTTTTTTTGAGAAATTTAAGAGGAAAAGAAAGCCACTATAATCAAAAAAAATCGAAAAGAATTTATCTTGGTGCAGACTTAAACATTAAGAAGTTGTGGCTAATATCCAATGATTCTGTACTTGATAATCTTAAAGTTAAGAAATATATGTTTAGGAGAGTTTTCAATGAATTAAATATCGGATTTTCATCACCAGCTTCTGACGTTTGCAGTACATGCAATAAAATAGATCTTCAGCTGAAAATTAAGAAGGCTAAAGCTGTGAAAGACTTGGTAGTGGTCAACCAATTTATGATGGAGAAAAGAATACACAGATTAAGAGCTAATGCTTTTTATGGGCTCTTAAAGGAAAACAAAGAAAATGAGGTTACTTTCTGTTTTGATCTCCAGCAAATTCAAGCACTTCCCAAAACTCCTATTCAAGACGCGTTCTACAAAAGACAATTAAGTTTTTACTCTTTTTGCATTGTAGCATCAAACGCACAAAACCCCATATTTTACGTATGGACTGAAGAACTTGCAGGAAGGGGTGCGACCGAAGTTTCATCTGCACTTATAAATTTCTTGAACTCCGCTAATTTTTCAAATGTAACAAGACTGAATTTGTTCTGTGATGGGTGTGCCGGTCAAAAAAAAAAACAATGCCGTTGTTCACACATTAGTGTATTACTTAGGATCAGTGCAAAATGCTTTAGAGGAGATTGTTCCAACATACCCTGTTCGCGGGCATAGCTTCCTCCCCGCTGATCGGGCGTTCGGAACGGTTGAAAAGTTACTCAGGAAGCAGCCTACCATCGCAACAAAGGAAGAGTACTACAATGTATATAGTTCTGTTGGAGAGGTACGGAAACTTGGAGAGGATTGGGGATTGATTGATGCTAAAAGTTTGGCTACATGATTTAAAAACATTGAAATGATATCTGAAAAGAAGAGGATTTTTGTGAGGAAAGAGAAAGCTGTCAACCGCAATGTCAACCCGCAGAATTTTAGGTTTGAAAGTGATTTTGAAACCTACAACAAGCCTCAAAAAAAAGGCTGGCATTCTGCAAGGTCGTTCTCAACTCCTGTAGAGTCACTTTCACTGAGCAATTTAGTGAAAGCAGCTAAGAAGAAGGACGTGGAGACGTTACTTGTGAAAATGTATGGTGATGACTGGCAGAAACATGACTTTTTATCTTGGTATAAGACCATAATAGTGGATGTCCAGGACGACGAAATTGATGCTGACGAAGTGGACGAATCCTGTGATTGTCTAGAACCTGACATTGGACTACACATTTAAACATTTATATTTTGTGGAAAGTGTCGCTGGTAAATGTTAACCATTTTTCAAGATATTTTTTGTAACAATACAATATATAATTTAAGTAGTCTGCGTTTTTTTATCAACCCCTTTCTATCAACGTCCATGAAGTCCAATCAAATAAGAACATGTCCTTTTTTTAAAATGTATTTACAGGTTTATTTATACCTTCAGATTTGAAATATTTACTAAGAGTCAGTTAATTTCAATAAATAAAATAATATATGCTAATTTATCCGATTTTTCATGTAAGGTTATTTACTAATACGTTTTTTTACGATTTTCCT